AGTACAAGTTGTCTTTGCCCCCATCCAGCTGTCCCCTAAGAGTAATGAACTGCTGCTCTAGAGCTCTGTTTAGTTCCAAAAATGTCGCAGTTGTGCTAAAGAAATAGGAGACTTGCCTAACACACCAAGGGGGAAAGACCTTGTGACTGTTTGTGTTATATCTTATAGAAGATATAATGTTTAATTTCTGGAGCTGCCTCATGGCTAGTGCAGACTATTCTACCTGTCTTCCCCACCACCCCACTGTTCCATTGAGTTAAACCAGCATGTAGGAAGACATGATCCATTCTTACAGCTGGAGCTGAAGGGAAGCCCTAACATGGCTTTGCATATGCTAGCCCCCCAAAATGCTTCCATCTCTGCAATTTGTGTATCATGGTGCTAGGGAAATTCCTCAGGGTTTCCATTCTGTTCAGATACTGATCTGTCAGGGGTTTTTTTTTTCCTCTAAATAAGGTTAGATGTTTGATTCACCAACATGTCCTGCTATTTTTTTGTGGGTTCTTCAGGCTGTGTGGCTATGTTGTAGAAGAGTTTCTTTCTGATGTTTTGCCAGCATCTGTGGCTGGCATCTTCAGAGAATATATGCCTACTCTTTTCCAGCATTCTCTGAAGATGCCAGCCACAGATGCTGGCAAAACGTCAGAAGGAAACTCTTCTAAAACATGGCCACACAGCCTGAAAAACCCACAAAAAAACTATGGATGTCAGCCATTAAAGCCTTCGACTTCACATGTCCTGCTAATCTTTGCAAATGTATCTAGAGACGTTATCACACGTGGCCCAGAAACTGAAAATAAAGTGGAAATGAGGCATCCCAAAAATAAACGGGAAATAAACCTTGTTTCCGCAAACGTCATTACCTTAATTGCGAATAGTGCATTGATCGTCCACACACAAGCAAAAAAAGCCCATAAATGTAGTAGAAATGAGCCTCTTGCACATGCGCAGATAGAAGAATGCTCGCTGGAACCATGGCAACAGCAGGGAAATGCTCCCCAATGCGCATTTGGCAATCACGTTGCAGTAAATGCGTAATTACCGTAATTACGGATTTGCATTTCCTCCAGACAACTGAATTACAAAAGATCGCGGTTAACACCAGTTTCTGTCCATTTTCTGTCCAGTTTCTGTGTGACGTCGTGTGAAAACACGGGGCACTAATCCAGTTTCGGTCTGGATTTTGTGTGGATTAACCAGCAGATGTACCCCCGTGTGATAACGTCCTAGGAGAAACAATCTCATTTCAGAGTCCCTGTAGAAGGCTCTGGGCACACCTCTTGGCTTGTGGTTCTGGGTCTGTCCTTTGGCCTTTGGCTTTGCAATGTTTCTGGGATTCTGCCTTCTCTTACTATATATTTTTGCATGACTTGGCCTGGACACATGGCTCACTTCTCACCTCAACTGGATGTTGATTTGTTGTGTGAAAAGCATCTATTTAATGGCCTTTCTGCCTACCAGGACTTCCATGTGACATATAATAAAATATGTGAAAAAATATTCAAAGGTTAGTCAGAAGAAAGCAGCTCAGGAAGAATGAAGTCACTTTAGCTTCCCATTGGAGTGAGGTGTTATCACAATGGAAGTCCTGTCTCATATAGTTTCTAACGTGACTTTGTAGTGATGGGACATAAAGAACATCTACTGAAAATCTTCCATTCCTAGCAAACTCACATGGGAGGAGGCAGTCTTTCTAGTATTTTAGCCCCAAGCCCTTTTGGCACTGCTGTTATAACAGAGAGGAATGCATCAGCCAAGTGTTTATTGGAGCTGAGAGAGGATGGAAGCAGAAATACAAGACAACATGTGAGCTGCTACAGAATAGGAGGGGAAAGGAGAGGGTGAGCCCACTCTTACCTGACTAAACTGTCAGAATCATCAGCTGTAGCAGTATCCTTGCACCACAGGGATATAGCCTGTGCCCACAAGAGGCTATGAAGGCATCAGAAGCAGCCTGCCTTCTACTGAAGCACCCAAGATGTTCTGGACACTCCAAGGCCTGCTTTTCCAGGGAGCTGACATACATTAGAACTGGCCAGAAAAGCTGAGTGACCCACATGTACGTGTTACTTGGTTTGTATTCCATGTCTTCCAATGAGTTCAAACAACCTGTATGGATGCCCCTCTCCTTCTCCCACCATATATATTCCATCCAGGAGCTCTTGCAGAACCTGTAGTAACCTCCTGTGGAATCCCAGGCTTCTGGGGAACTCTGGTTGAGAAAATCTAATCTAACCATTATTCCACACAGGCGCACATGCTACAGCACAGAGGATTCTTGGAGATGGACTGACTCAGCCTTTCTGTTGTGGCTATGTTTACCAGGCACGCAATGCTGATTCACCTTTTCTCAGCAAGAAAGAGGGACTTTGGGTGGTTCATCTGCTTTCATCAGACTCCCTGCTATGGCTCTTGTTGACAGCATCTGCACCCTCTTCCTCCATTCTCCAATTTTACTTCTGCCTCATTCACCAGGGTCACTTCTAAATCTGGCTGGAAAAACCTCAGATGACCCTTCCTGGGTGCAAATGGAAGGCTATGGGTTTCCCAAGGTGCATATAAGTGTGGAAGTGGTGGTGTCTTCAAGCCATCTGTCACCTTAGGGTGACCTCATGGATTTCATAGATTTTCTTAAGCAAACAATCATTAGAGGTGGTTTTGCCAGTCCCTTCCTCCAAAATATAACCTACAGCACTTAGTGTTCATCAGCATTCTCCCATCCAAGTACTAACCAAGGCTGCTCCTGCTTAGTTTCCAAGATCAGATGGGGTCCGTTGTCTTTAGGATATTTAGGAAGGCAAAGAAGCACAAGTGCTGCATGATCAAGGCTCAGTCCATGCACCCTGGCTCTCTTACAATGGTCCAGCCAGAGGTGTCACTAAAAAAGGGGAGAAATGAGGGCATGTCCTCCAAATAAGAGTTCAGCTCCTCAATGAAATTTCTCACATTTTCAAGGTGTCGCTGTTGTGAGAATAAAGTGGGGAGCTGTTTTTCCTTATGCTCTAACCCAAAGCTTTTTGTACACTGGACACAATCACATGGGCCAGCATATGGTGAGTACACCAAAAATAATCCCAGAGAATCAGGAGCTGCTTGTGTGCACCAGCCAAATGGGAAGCAATGAGAGGCACTTTGATCTGGAATCTATCAGGCAGTTTCTCTCTTTATTACAAAGCAATCCAGCCACTTGTCACTTTGCAATATCAGAGTGGGATGAGTGTTTTAAAAAGTGTGACGGTTTAGGGGATGTTAGCACGATTAGCTTAGCCACACAAGATCCCACATAAGGGAGTGGTGTAGCAACATGGGGAGGCAACATGTGGACACTGCCCCCAAGTAAGAATTCTGTCCCTTAAATTAAATTTTCCTTCAGTCCTTAAATTTCTAGCATTGCAGACTAGTGAGACCCTGAAAACTGTTCATGCCTAGAACTCTTCTGTTTGCTGTGTTGGATTCCCCTGGACAATTTGCCTGCTCCTTTTCTTTTGGTGCCTAAACTGTCTTTCTACATGCTCAGCTGATGTTTTAAGTGACTGCAATGCTAGAAATTTGGGGAGTGATGGAAAATTTTATCTGAGAGGGAAGAATTCTTATTTGGAGGGTGCAATGCCCTCATTTTGCACACACATACCCCAGCTACACCCCTGACGCCAGTCCATCCCTTCTTCCTCCTCCTCCTCCTCCTCCTCCACAATATTTGACCACATGACAGCTGCTGCAGCTAGCCATTGATCCTCTCCCATTTAAACCCATTTGGCTCAAACTGCTGTATTTGGTGAGGTGTGAACAACCTTATCTTGACACAAGTGATGTTTCTTTCCAATAAGTCCCTGGTTGATTAAAATCGAGCTTGAGCAAAGCCTCAAGTAAGCCTCTGGAATGGGAATGAGGATGGAAGAGACAAGCAGAGGCTGGCTTTTTCTGGGGGTCATGGGGAAAGATCCAGCACCTTTTCTTGGCCCAATTAGATTTTTCATGAGCCGTTCCAAAGGTAAAATAAAACACAGTCCAGTCAGTGTGTGGCTGTGCTGGGGAAGGGAGTCTCCACATAAAGTGACTAGATGGCCCATTGGCAATCAGAGACTCATAAAATCATAGAATCATAGAGTTGGAAGGGACCCAAGGGCCATCCAGTCTAACCCCCTGCCATGCAGGAATATTCAACCAAAGCACTCCTGACTGATGGTAATATAGCCACTGTTTAAAATCCTCCAAAGAAGGAGACTGCACCACTCTCCAAGGCAGCGTGTTTCACTGTCAAACAGCTCTTACAATCAGGAGGTTCTTTCTAATGTTGAAGTGGAATCTCTTTTCCTGTTGTTTGAATCTATTGCTCCATGTCCTAGTCTCTGGAGCTGCAGCAAACAATCTTACTCTGTATTCAATATGGCATTCCTTCAAATATTTAATCATGGCTATCATGTCACTGCTTAACCTTCTCTTCTCCAGGCTAAACATACCCAGCTCTCTAAGTCTTTCCTCATAAGACATGGTTTCCAGACCTTTCACCATTTTGATTGCCCTCCTCTGGACACACTCCAGTTTGTCATTATTATTTTTGAATTGTGGTGCCCAGAACTGGACATAGTATTCTAGGTGATGGACACAATATTCCAGATCTTACCAAAGCAGAATAGAATGACACTATTACTTCCCTCAATCTAGTACTATAGCATCCAAATTCCACATCCCAAAATCTGAGTAGAAATATTTTCTATGCAGAAAATGATGTTTTCTATGCAAATCAAACTACATGTAATTGTTGCACAGAATAAGCCCCAAACTATAAAGATGATAATCTGTCCAGGATTCTTCTCATCTGAGTTTCTCAACAATTTAACTGCCATGGCTGCATCCCATGAAATCCTGTGATTTACGAAGTTTGTTGTTGGCAGCCTTCAAGTAGTTTCTGACTTATGGAAAGCCAAAGGTGAACCTGCCATGTGGTTTTCTGAGGCTCAGAGTGAGTGACATGACCAAGATCATCCAGTGGTTTCCCACAGCTGAGCAGGGATTCAAACCCTGGTCTCCAGAGTCATAGTCTAACACTCAAACCACTATGCTATGCTGGCTTCTGATTTACAAGGGCTAAAGGGCTTTGTGCTACAAATTTCACAATTCCACAGGATGCAGCCATGGCAGTTAAAATGGAATCATAACACTATAACTGCATAGTTTGAAAGACCTCCAAGAGATGTCTGATGTACCCTGCAGAGAAGGAGAGAAAAAGAAGCATTTTTTAAAGTCCATGCAAGAGTGGCAATGCACACACCCAGAGGTAGATGGGCAGACGAGGGAGTCTCTGTTTCAGTCAATTTTGGTTTTGGGTCAAGGAAGGTGTCCTATATACACACAGTTGTGTGTGTGTGTGTGTGAAAGAGAGAGACTGCCCTTCCTCAGCGCTTTCCCTGAGTTACTAGAAGGAAGAGACATGGATAATAATAGAAAGAGAGAATGAGGAAAGAAAACCATTAACTCCACTGATGTGAAAAGGAAAGCAAAGGGAAGCAAGGAGCTTTTCCATCAGCTATGAATAACTATTAAGAGGACCCATTTCCAGAGTAATTAGTTGGCTCCTGGATTATTAAGCAGCCAGTCCCTGCCCTCTGGCAAGCCAAGAGGCTGCTCCCATCCTCCTAGGCCATCTTGATAACTTCACAAAAGAAAGCCGGGGCTGCTCAGGCTCCATTAGAGACAAAATGTGGGGCAGGAACAGGAGTCAGAGGGAAACAGAAACATGTCTGTGAAACATGCTGAAAGATGGACTCAGGAAAGGAAATCCAGACCTGGTGAACACCAGTAGTATCCTGACTAGTAGATGCTGAGCACAACTACTGTGAGCCTTGGAAGACCACTCAACAGTGGCTATATGGTTCAACAAGCAAGTCACTCTAAAACACAGTGATACTAGATGATCCTTTAAAAATGGGAGAGGCAAGCAAGGGCCATGTTCATAGCAATAGCAGCTTCATTTATATACCAATTCATACTTCAGTGAGCAGGCTCTAAGAGGGTTGCAACTGTAAGCTAATTGCCCTCAACAAGCTGGGTATTCATTTTAGCGACCTTGGAAGGATGCTAGGCTGAGTCAACCCTAAGCCCCTCCCTGGGATTGAACTCACAACCTTGTGGTTTGTGAGTGAGTGGCTGCAGTACTGGCATTTAACCACTGCACCACCAGGACTGTCTCATGGACCACATGAGTTTGGGACTAGCATATTACCACACAAACTGTGTTCTCGTCACAAACATGATTATCAATGAAAACAGAATTATACCTATTTGTACAATACCCATTACTGCACACCTTTGCAATCATGTGACTGGGGCCACTGCTGCCATCATAATCCCCTCCTGGCTCCTTCGAAACCCTACCTCCCTGCCCTAGGCCCTGCCCAGCATGCCTTTTCTGGCATGTTTTATTTTTGTTTTCATTTATTTTAACATTTTCATGCAATTCCAGAGTTCTGCTTATTGATGTTGTTGTTGTTGTTGTTGTTGTCGTTGTTGTTGTTGTGTGTGTGTGTTCAAGTCATTTCCAATTTATGGTTGACCCTAAAGTGAACCTATCATAGGGTTTCTTGGCAAAATTTGTTCAGAGGAGGTTTGCCATTGCCTTCCCCTGAAGTACCCAAAGGTGACTTGCCCAAGCTGATCCAGTGGGTTTCATGGCTGAACTGGGAATCACAGTAGTCCAGCACTCAAACCACTATGCCACACTGGCTCTCTGTCTATCTACTTCATATCCCATATCCTGAGATCTGTCTGTCTGTCTGTCTATCTATTTCATACCTCAATATCTATTTTATATACTGACATCTATCTGTCTCTCTATTAATCCTTTAACTCATTTCCAACTTATAGCGACCCTAAGGCAAACCTATGATGGAGTTTTCTGGAGCTGAGAGTGTGTTACTAGCCCAAAGTCACCCAGAATGTTTCCATGATCAAGCAGGGAATTGAACCCTGATCTCCATAGTCAAAATCCTATGCACAAACCACTGCACCACATTGGCTCACAGTATTACCAGTCATCAATCCATTTAGTTTCATTCAGTAACTCAGAAGCTTCATCACTTTCTTGGGACTTTTTTTATTACAATTCAGCCAATTGAACTACGTATTTGGACAGGCTGCCTCCACCAGCTTCTATAATGCATACATATTTAGATTGATAAAGAGAACCAGTCTTGATTTCAGTGCTGGACTAGGAGTATGGGAGACCAGGGTTCAAAACCCCACTCAGCCATGGAAAGCAACTGGGTGACTTTGGAAAAGTCAAACTCCCTCAGTTATTTGGGTGAACTCTGGTGAACTCTACCATCTGATTAAAATAAAATTCTGGAAAATACATTTTGAATGTTAAGAACAATATACAACCCATGTATCAGTATTCGGGAGATAAACTAGATCTATGGTGATAGACAGGGAAACATATTGTGCTTATTAACTAAGATTGGGGATAGTAGGAAGGGAGGGGGGAACTGAATGTTCCTTTACTTATAGATATATTCCAAATGGGGGAAATATACATTAAAAAAAATAAAAGTTTTTTAAAAAATCACAGCCTTCACCATGGGAGAAAACTCAATCTAAGGCAATTGCCCAAAGAGCCAAAAGCAGCAAAGATAGCTCATCTGCCTTCATCTCAGGTGAAAAATCGATGAAAGCAATAGCCTAATACCATCACTCCCCCATTTTTGTTGATTCAATGCCTATTTTTAAAACATGGGGGAAACCCTCTCTTGACCTAAGAGAAAAGCAATGGCAAACTTTTTCAAGAATAAATCTTACCAAGAAAACCCTAGGACAGAGTCGACATACATTGGATTAAGAAAGATTGCAACATACAACATACCTCAATAAAAGAGGGGGCACCAACTCTCTCTATATATTTGTTGTTAACATGGATTGTCAACCCATAGCAACTGTGTGGATGAGACTTCTCCAAGACCCCCTGTCCTGACTAAAAATTCAGGTCTATTCTCTGTATCCCACCAGGAGGGGAAATACATAATGGAAATGTTGGGTCGGACTAAGATATTAGCCCTACTGTATCTTCCAAGTAGGACATGGAACTGCATTGAGCCCTCAGCCTGGATAGGAAGGTACAACAGAAAGTCTTTAGCCAAATGATCCACAGAAAAACAGCACTGCTTTCAGTCCAGATTACAGCAATGCCTCAGATGGATAAATGTTATTTCACAGCAGCATCATTTTATAGAGGTTTCAGAGTTACACAAACAGGGCAAAAAGGTGCACGAAGAAAGCTGATGTTTTCACTCCTCTATTGCATGTGTGCCATTTCTTTAAAGAGAATGGAGCCTTTGTAACATCATCATTTCTGTGAACAAATGGATGTTCTCAGGAAAGGACAGTCAGTTTCAAAATTGTTCTTATTACCTTATCTGTGACTCTGAACCTGAACACAGTTCTTGGAATTAGAGCAGTTTGCAGAAATCCAGTACAAAAGACTCAAAAACTGATTCAAATTCGTTAACCCACAAAGTGACTTGGTTTTGAATGGCTTAGGCATTGAGAAATAAAAGAACAAATGCTTGTAATACTTTTGTAACCAACAGGAGGACATAGGAGAGGGTCTTCTCTGTGTTGGCCTTGGAGGCCTGATTGGAAACAACATTGGTATAAATTTTGCTTCCAGACAAAACTTAGTGTTGGTGGCTGTTTTAACTAGTTTGAAATTGTCTAAGTTTTAACTGATAAATGATTTAATGTATTTCTAGTCTTTTAAAATTATTGTTATTATTTATTGTTTCAAACCTACTTTACTGTAAGCTGCTCTGATATCTTCGACTATTGGGCAGGATAAAAATATTTTAAGAAATAAAATAAAATAAAATATTTATAAATAGAAGTGCTGATAATATTGGCTCTTTTCTGTGCTCTGCAGTATATCAGTGGTTTATATCCCTATATATTTATACTTCATGGTTGGTAAGGATATGAATATTTGGTATTATTTATTATTTATTATTGTTTAATTTATATTCCACCTTTCTCCCAGCATAGGATCCAAGACATCTTGCAACACTTTAAAGGAGCAATACAATTTTTAAAATTCTTAATACAAAAGTTAAGACACAATGAAACTTAAATTTTATTTTAAAAAAAGTTAAAAACAACATTAAAAGATGCTTGAAACATTAAACAAATAAATAAACCACTGCACCTCTCCCATTAACAGCTTTATCTGTCACTATACCAAATGCAGCTCTTCAAAGTAGGGGTCCAGGGTCTTCTTCCACAACTTCCAGGCCCACACATAATTGCCAGGGGAGTGGTGCAGTACTTCGATCTGTTTGGAGAGGCAGGATATTACTTATTATTATTATTATTATTATTATTATTTAAACATTAAATCCCTTGTTGCTTTTCCAGCCAAGATTTGAGAAACTATGTGAGCATCAGGAGGTGGCAAGATCAAATGGATGAAGATCACTTCCTCTCTTCTATTTGTCGCTTCAGTTTATTTTTTAGTTAAGAGTTCAAAGATCAGCTTCATCCTCTAGCAGAAGGGATCTGTCAAATGGAATTGGTGATGGATTCCTCCAACCCACTTTGTCTCTCATCCTGTCTGCGTTTGCAGTCCTATTAGCTTCCAGACCGGTGCATCCCCTCACTGCTTCATATTTTATGTTTTATTTGTCAGGCCCAGTTAGCTCTTTTCTTTTATCCCTTTTCCCCTTTGCTTTGCCATCCTCAATATTGAACTGTCAACTTCAGATATTAAAATTTAACCAAGGTGCTACTGGGCTGGCTTTCCTTTTGGTGCGTGCGTGTGTGTGTGTTTTTTTCAATTATTAAAAGAGCTCAACATCTTGACATGAGTGCCAATGACAGATGGATGGGGCAATTCAAGAAGCTAAACTGGAGAAGAACATGTTCCACTCGCCCAGTTCAGGGACTTTGTAATACCACCATAGGCCTTCTTTCGTGATGGCCTCAATGATTTCTCTCCTACAGAAGAGTGCCATAGAACCATTCACCAAAGAAGTTTCTTCCTTTCCTTTATAATGAGAGTGTCCCCATGCTTCCTCCCTTCTTTTTAGTC